TAATATACAATACAATAGCTGCGTAACAATACACAACGATAGCACTATCGTTAAAAGTTGCAGAACGCAAGTCTTAGCGTGAAGCGATTTCGTATCATCGTCCATAATCATCTACATTTCGAAAATTCATTAAATTTCAGAATTACCATTTCGACTGCTAAAATTTTCGCGCATTTGTCATCGCAAAGTATTCTCAAAAATTTACGTCAACTTAAACAAGTTTCTACTGCTGTTGCAAAACATTTTCTGCGACGGTGATATATTTTTAAAAAGTTACTGATTATTTTGAACGATTTTTTTTTTTTTTTTAATAAATTAGAATCTTTGGGCGCGCGCATTTTGCTAGAAAAAAACGTCGTGCTTTATTCAAAGTGTTCTGCTTCGCGACGCCCGAAATACATGCGACAATTAAACGCGTCGTCAGCCAGTCGAAAATAATTCTTTACCTCGTCATTGCGGGACGTCCACAATTTCATCGTGCGAACATTGCGTCAGAAGTCTATTTAGATATGCACCAATTATTCACTAGCAGTCCGTGAACGTATTAGTTGAAAAAACTCAAAAAATTCTTCAACCAGCGTGTCAGCCATTAATACTTCGTCATTCAACTTCTCATCTTGCTTAACTCTTCGTCATTTGAAATGAATTGAGAGATTAAAAACGACAATATTGAAAGCCATAATTGTTAACACGTCACGAATCTTCATAACACTTTGACCAAACACTGCTGCAAGAAACAATCCATTCCTTCCATCTTGATCTTTACGTTTCACCTTCTCTTATCTTGATGGTTTCTAATCACGATAGCTCCCTTCTAATTAGCTCGATCAGATTACCACCAATATTTCTGCATGTACGGCGTCATGGAGATCTGGGCGGTTCCGGGGTACGCGGGTTCCATCAATTTAGACTGGCAGGGCTTACCGTCTCTCACCAGCACCGGCACGGCGACTCGGCGGGGCGAGCAGCCGCTGCCGCTGGCCTCGACGCGCTCGCTCGCCGCTCTCTTCGTCTTGTATCTATGATTCTGGAACCAGATCTTCACTTGGGTCGGCGTGAGGTGGATGATGGACGCGAGATGCTCGCGCTCGGGCGCGCTCAGGTAACGCTGCTGGCGGAAGCGTCGCTCCAGCTCGTACGTCTGCGCCTTGGAGAACAGCACGCGTCGCTTGCGCTTCTTGTGCTCGGTCTCGTGTGGCTGCGCCGTCTCGTTGCCGGTCTGCTGCTCGTCCTCGTAGTCCTGCGACTCCTCGTCCTTCGACGACTCGTGGCTGTTCTCCTGTTGCGACGGGAACGACATGTCCGAGATCGCCGGACTCGTCGAATCTGGTTGTGGGAGAACTAAAAAAAAAAATGAAGAAAGGTGTGTTATTATTACGACGTTTTATTTCATCGTCACACTTGCAAAGAAATATGAAATATCTTTATCTTATCTTTATCTTTATCGAATAATTTGAAGAATTTGTTGAAGCTACAAGAGCCAGAGCCAGTTAACCTCGCTCCGTTTTTTATTTTACAACTTTATTGTTTACGTTTATTGTTTATAACTCCACAAACGGCCATTCGGGTTGTTGCTATCTTCAGTGTGTTCAATTACAATTTAATTAATTATGTCTAATTATAATCGCATCTATGTATTTTCCGTAAATTCCGCAATTCGTGTTTTTTTATCGAAATTGTTTACATACGCTATTTCTTGGTGATCCACGTCATTCTTTTCTGTTTGGAATTCTTAGTCCAATGATTTAAAAATTTATGTATTTCTCTATTTCTACCAATAATAGTTGATAATTATAATTATACAGACTTCCAGGTCTCTCCAGTTCTATTTCAATGACCAGTACAGTGTTATAAAAAAGCGACAATTTTATCATAACGACTTTTACATATCCAAAGAGACAGTGACACACATTGACACTTATTTTACAAAAATGACATTATTAACAAGCACTACAGTATTGCATCGACGCTTAAGATCTAGAGACATATGATTTTATAATTATCAACTATTATTGGAAGAAATAGAGAAATACATAAATTTTTAAATCATTGGACTAAGGATTCTAAACTGGCTCTGGCTCTTGTAGCTTCAATTAATTCTTTAAATTATTGGATAATAAAAGAGCCACTATTAAATTATTGATTATCTTTATCGTATCCTTTGCGCTGATATCAGTCCTCGAGGCGTTACTCGAAGAGGAATTATGTCTTCGAGTGTCAAACATTGATTCAAGTGCTTCTTTTATTCATCAATTTTGTTTCAATCAAGAAGTTTTGTTGTACACTTTTTCAAGTATGATGTTTATGTAAATTGTGAGGAACACACTCTTCTTAGTGTAGTTTAGATTATCTGCCAAGTAAGTTAGATGACTTGATGGAAGTTTAATGTTTCGTAATCGACCGACTCAATTACTTAATTGATGATAACGAACTGCAGCTGCATTTCGACTCAGCCGGCGCTATCGATTACTCTTAGCGTTGATTGCAGGCAGATGCGTATATGCGTGCATTAATTTTTTACTACTTCCAGTCATTACCGACAGAAATTAGACGGTTAAATTCTACGTTCAATGAAACTTTATGTGGAAGCGAGATCAACGAATTTCTAAATCGGTATTAATCTATTTTACTCTCAGATCATTGAATTTGTTTACGATGCTAAACAATGAGAATTGCTTTATTCAATTAAATATGGCGAAATAGAAGCGATTAAATGCACAAATTATTATTATAATTGCAATTCATTGTTTGTGCGATTCAATTGTTCGCGATTTAACAGCACGAAATATAGTGAATTCAAGGTATAAAGCGATGGTGAAATAAATGTCACTTTCTGACGGTAATTATGCGCAATAGCTTCATTCGTACGATAGCAAAGTGGTAAATGGCACGACCCGGCCAAGATACCGGCTAATTTAATGTACAACGTCGGGATACTGGCTTCTCGCCGCGCGCGTGGTACAATATGCTTTTGTGAACGACCCCTGAAACCCGCTTGGGGAGGGTGTGAACCAATATAAAACCTATTTGATATCCCTGCCGGACCCCATGGGATCAACCATATCATTTTCATGGGAGATTAGACCGTACTCGCAGTCGTACTGTGATTTCAATTAGACACTCATCGGCGAGTGTCTCCGAAGAAAGTTACAGCGGGGAAAGGAATGGTCTCGTATTTTCGCAACACAAATTGCGGGCGCTTTGTTTTTCGGAAATAAACCTTTTTCGACACAATATGCAATGTACAATATACAATCATCATTATTTTAACTCGCATCCGTCTGTGAAGAAATTTCGCAAGAAATGAATTCTTAATTTAATCTTTTCTTTCTTACATAAGAACAAAATTAATAAAAGCAATCTTTTATATTTTACTTAGCATCCTAACAATCACTGTAACTCTAATTATTTTGATTCATTACTGTTATATTTGAAGACGCGGAATTTTTAAATCTATTCAGAGTGTAATCCGCGCAAACTTTTGCGAAACTTTTACAAATCTGCTTCAGAGAGAATTCTATGCGCTATCCACTGAACAACGTAAACGCCCGATACAAAAGAGATCCACTCAATCGCGCCTCTGCTTCCCCTTACCTGCTACAGGACCGCAATTATTCGCGCGCAATGCGTGTTCTCAACGGTTCGACGGGATTTCTCGCTCGTGCAAACCGTGACCGCGGCGGAGTGGATAAAGGAAGCGGGAATAGCGAGAAGCGAGCGGGATAGGTCGCCGGCGAATTTTTTGGGCGTGACGATTCCGATTTATCGAGGACCCCGCACTCGCATCTGTCCCCGGCACATCTGTCCTCCTTCGCGGACCAATCGCCGAGCGGGTTCCGCAAGGACCTTTTACAGGACCATTAGATCCTGCTTAACCCTCGCGGACCAATTGTAGGGTGCTAAATAAATAAGGGCTTACACCGTGCCCTTCCCCCGCAAAAACATGGGTGCGCGCCCTTTCTGCGAGCACCGGCGTGAAGAAAAAGGGGGCGAGAATTGCGCCGCGAACGGAATGGAAAGTGCGGCGGCCGAAGCAAGTAGTCTTGTCATTCTGAATTCGGGCGGCTCGCGCGATGTGTGTGCAGTTATCGGCGATTTCAGATATTCAATTGTCGCCCGTTAACATTGTCAAGTAGAAAATGATGAAAAAGTTAAAAGATCGCTAAATCTCTCTTCGGTATGCTTCTGATCTTTAAACAATTCAATGTAATAATCGCGTTTAACTACACCTACCATTCACTTCCTCCAAGTTCGGTTGAGGTAACGGTGTCGGCAGCGTCGGTCCAGCCGGCCAACCTAATAATCCGGGCGGAGGGGGTGGCAGCGTACCCCTATTCAGATTAGCGTGCATAGCCGGTTGGAGCATGGCGGTCGTGTGCTCAAGAAATTGCTGATAAGCCGATGGCATGTCATTGACCGCCGGCAGAACCGTCGTGGCACCTGGAACACAAATTTCGAATAAACTTAATTAACTATTGTTCCGATACAATTGATTCATAGCAGCGGATACAAAAGATCCAAAATTTTTAATTAAAAATAATTTTTGCAAGTTATATCTATATTTTTTTATTATGAAAAATATGCTCTAAAAATTAAAATCGGATAATGTAAATCTTTGAAATGAGATTGTATTATTTTATAATCTTGCTATTCGTTGATTGCAACGAGTTAGTGGAACGATTAATAACCAAATGTATTACATATTTGTTATATTCAATCAATAAAACTTTATGGCTTTTTTACCTTGCACGTTGGTTTCCTCCTGCGACGGCTTGACATCGTTTAGCTCTAAAATATCGCTGATGGCGAAACCGGACGTTCTAGCTGGCATTTTCATACTCTCCAGCAACCTGTAACAAAGTATTGAAAAATACTAATAAATACTTTGTAAAAGATAACATTGCGTGTGAAACAATCATATTCTATTTGACTCTATATTTGTCTGCTTCTCTCTATTGATCACAGTAAGACACTTGTGATACCAGTTATTGATATCTCCGTCAGTTTTTATTGATCTCTTGAAACGATACAACAATTCTGAAGATACCGATATGCTTCTGGTATCGGAAGCTTGCGATAATAATACTGTTATTGCAATTAATTGATATTGTTCAAGCGCGAGGCGATTACTTTCGACGGCAAATTCGGAAACGAGATAAAAGAGTTTAGGCAACTTTAACAAAGTACACAATTAATTTCTGTCAATTAATTACGATGAATAAATACTTACATTGATGTAAATTTCAGATTAGGAGATATGCATAAAAAGTTGCACATCTGTCGAAAATCGCAGAATAATTCTCTCGTAAACAAATTATGCGTAAACATATCGGCAACTCGCGAGTACTTAAGAGAGGAAAAAGACATTCTTCGGCGGATGATAATCTTATGTATGTTAGACAAAATTTTCTCGAAGCTTTAACTCCCAAAATTTTAAAACTTTCGTGACGTACAATTGTGTATGGCACGCTGTAATTAATCGCGGTATGTCGACAGTACGCGCGTACACAGTTCATCGTGAGTTTTGTTGATTTTCTCATGTTATTATTACATGTGCGATTTTCTAACTTACCTTTGATCTTTATAGTTGATAACCAATTTACAAGACTATTCGATCGAATTTTGCTGGCTTCGAGAAAGTTCCGTCAAATAATATCTTAGCGAAATGATTATTCGCAGGGCAAGAATGTGGTGGAATTATTTATTATTTCTTTTACTGCTTGATTTTAGAATAGTTTTTTTACTTGGAGTTTTCACGCTATCTCAAACAGATATGCATATTTTTGTTGTAATAAATGACGAGTCGTCGATAAGGTTTCAGATGAACATAACTACGTCTGGCGGATTATGCGAGTCGAAAAGTCGGTCACAAAGGTTGGTTTTTGAGGGAACAATCCAATTTTCGAAACCGAAAGCTTCATGATGATCGTCAAGAAGCCACCGGTTCCTTTAAGACCCGATTAGAGACACGTCTTCAATACCTGTGCGCGTTTAGTCACAAGCAACCTGTCTGCAAACCTGAAACGAACTTCGGATCCGTTCTTTAAGCCGTACAAACCATTATAGTGACACGTTTGGTTTAAATTTTTCTAACGCTCCCAACCCAAAGTGCGAGTATTTTTCAATAGGCTTTTACAGCTACTTCACAGGCGGCCGCTCGAAAACGTACGAGATGAAATAAATTTTTGAAGAGGAAAAACCATTTATTTTCTCATTGATTTATTCTTTATTTTATCGGATCCACAAAATTTTGATCTAATCACGTAAAACTTGGGTTAAAATAATAAAGAAATCATTATTGATCGACTTCGTCGCAAAAAGCGATAATTATTCAGAAGTGCCAGCGTTGAAATCGCTCGCGATTTCAATCTCTCGTAATTGCGGCGTTTATTATGTAAATTTTATTATGTTATCTCAATGATGTGAAAGCCGTCGGAGATAGCAAAAACGTAGCTTTCGTCATTTCAATATCGCGACAAAACAATTAAAATATATTTGCAGTTTTACTGATTAAATATATTTAGATTAAATAATATATTTCTGAGAATTTTTTACACTATATATAAATAATTTATATGATTTTATATTTTTAAAGTATTTGTTTAAAACATGCTATATAAACGCAAAATATTCAGTGAGAATTTTTCGGTATTGCGTGCAACGTTTAATCGACAAGCAATGGGTATTTCTGTGGATATCAAGAATAATATCGATAGTCGACCGGATACTCGGCGATATCGCATGATATATCTTAATGAAACCACGTGTAAGAATCCCAGACTCGTCAAAATCTCCGATATCAATCGTGTCAAAATATCAGCAAAGATTAGTACAAACTTTTTGATTTATCTGTTAGACACACTTATGTTTATTATTTGTGCAACTTGTTTCTTCAAATTAATAATTAAACCAGTAAAATTTATACTAATTATTTTGCATATTTGTTATTCATTGTTTTGTAATTTTTCGAAAAAGAGCTCAATATGTTGAACTTTTATTTATTTCAAGTTTTTTTTAGATAAATTGATAATATTTATTCTGCTAAAGAAGAATGCAGTAATTTCTTAAACTGTTTTACTTTTTTCTATCTAAAGTTGCATACGTTTTTAGAATTCTTATATCTAAAATTATATTTCTATGATACTTCCGCATCGCATTTATTTTATTTACCTAGTGTTTAGGGCGAGTTGACTGTACCAATGATTCAAAAGACTGGCCGGATACGGTAGCAATGGCCAGGGTAGAATCTTATTCTTGTCCATTTTGACAAAGGTGTGGCGAGAGAATTATTCACTTCTATTGGCATCAATACGTACACATTCTTCGCCGACGGCTCATTTCCCGGTATAAAAAGTCTCTTTTAACTTCATATCTTTTTCATCATACGTTTGATTTTACACTTGTAATTTGTATTTTATTCTTGATTTTAATAATATCTTTTAAATAAAAATTTTATACAAATCCTCTTCCAATAATTTAGAATCTGTTCTTCTTGAATTTTTCTTTATTTCATTTTTTCCCTTATTTGCTTACAACACTGAAAGTTGATGGAATTTTTATTTTTTTTACTTCCGCGTACAGATTTGTAGTTTATAATTTGTTCATTTTTATGGTAATTATTTATATTAATATGCACTTTGATGATTTTTAGATCAATTAGACAGTCTTTCTTTATGTGGTTGTTCAGATGTACGTATTTAGAATATGTTACATTTACTTATGTTTTTCTTGATTGAATAATTTAAATTACTGCCTTCTCTCGAAGCTTCTCTCTTCTCGTCGATTTTTTGTGATTGCCACTGCCCATAAAATTCTCGATACACTTCTTATCTGCTCACTTTTCGCTGCTTTTGTCACAAACACTATCGTAATTCTTCATTTTAGCATTAATAATTTTAATCTCTCTAGCGGCAACAGTTCACAAATCTCGTTGTAAAAGTCCCACTCGAGAATTTTGATTTCAATCCGTGCAATCCGAGTAATCTAATTCACTGATTTTCGTTTCGTTTTCTCGGGGCACTCTTGACCGTCAGCCATTAGCACAGTTATCTCCCGGTGAGTCGAACAAAGGCCTCGGATCTCATACAAGGTACTCGAAACACAAACGAAACCTATTCTTTTTCGGAGCTGCGAGAGAAAGAGCTGGCTCCTTATAGTTTTTGAGTGTCCTCGACGAGCACTTGACGACTAGTGTTCTCTACCGCCGTGCAGTTTCGCTCGTCAAGCACCCTCGAAGCGCAGGGCGGGTTCTATGTGGGGGCGGGGATTTTGCGTTCATCCCCCCGAGCTCGCTCTCTTTGTCGCTATCCCACCCTGCCATCGACATCCAGCGGTAACTTACGCACAGTTTCCCGTGAGAGAAGTTCAGAATAGGAACACTTATTATCGTCTTTAAAAATTTTGCTTTCTTTTTTTGAAAAATAACACATTCTTGATAATAAACCTGATAGAAATTCTTTCGTCCGCAAATAATTTATTTCGGTGAAATTAATAGTTTGTCAAATTTAGAAAGCGTTTTGTTTTCGGCGATTAAATGAAAAGCGAGAAATGTGAATATCTCATAAGATAATGGTATCTTTGCTTGTGATTTGCTTGCAAATATTTGATAAAATGTATCAATATGATTTAAAAAATGCCTTATATATTAAGAAAAATTCTAATTTTGCTGCTAGCTTAATCTTTCGCAATTTTTTGTTTAATACAATCCGAAATGTGTTTTCAACAAAACGTTCGCAAACTAATACGACCTTTCGAAGTCTGCATTTTTATCGTCCGACTTAACATTTTGCTTAATCAACTCGCATGTGTAAAAATCGAAATTATATAGAAACGAATTTTACTTCATCGCAATCCAATAAAACCTCCTCGCCACTCCTTTGCGATCTTACGAAGGATATCCCTCGCTTGCGAGACTTCGCGCGACTGGTAATGTTACCGGGGCAAGTTACCAAGGGGTGGTGCCGTCGGCCGACCAATGGGACGGTCGCGTGTCGAGCAACCCTCGCCCGGCGGCCCGGGGGTTGATTTCAATCCAGCTCAGCGAGCGAGCCAATCGCCGGGCTTCATCGATCAGGGGGCTTTTTACACCAAGAGCATACTTTACGTCGAGTGTTAATGTGAAAGAGCATTAGCGGTGCTTTTACTGTGTCATTTCGATTTTTCACTCGCTCCCCCTCTCCCTCCTCCCTCCTGCCCCCGCCCTCTTTTCTTCCTTCCTTCTGCCCCCGTGGCACTCGGATCGCTGCCTATTGTTACGCAAAACTGGGTTAGAAGCGGGGGTCGCGACTTACGGGCGAGTGTTACACAAACGCGAATGAGATGTGTATGATCAGCCGACTCGACTGTCCTCTTTTAGTTTGTACGAGTGAAAAATGGAGGGCGCAAATTTGAGCATAATTGAACGGACAATGTGATAGGAGAAATATGTGGTAAATGAATCGTCACAAATGTATAGTATTCTTTTTATATCGCGCATATGGTTTTTTAATTTAATACATCCTGCGACGATGTAAAGTTCCATAAGTTGCCTTTCCAAGCGCAATTGCTTGCGAACATCGAAAGTTACATATTAAAAGAATTTCAAATCTTTTTCCACGAATAAATTATTCTCTGCATTCGCAACTTTTGTGTATTTATCGGTTTAATAATGCGACAGAAGATGGCGAACTTGATCCTTTAAATTTGTTCGCCGAGATAAAAACTCAGAAGGTGTAAAATGGAAGAAATGAGCGAAAGAGGGAAAAAGAATCCATTTTTTGCGACAGTTAAATAAATCTAGATTGTCGGTGTAATTCAGGCGAGGAGTGTGACGGCTAATTTTACAGCGTGACATTTATTGCAACGCGCATTC